CCTCCATAACCTCCTTATAATAGTTTGTATCGGCCTGCGAGGCAAACTAGGTTCGCGTCTCCGCGGCTTCGCTTGCTGTCGTGGTTCAAGAGATGGGCGTTCGGGGACTTACATCTTATCTGAAAGAGTCAGCTCCATTCCTTGGAAGACAGATCGAGCTGCGAGACACAAAGCTCATCATAGACGGAGATAACTTGTGTAACTACCTGTATAAAGAAAACGGCTTCGATTGCCGGTGTGGGGGACAGTACGAGGAGTTTTACATGAAAGTGCTGTTGTTTTTCGACGCTTTAAAATCTAAAGGTGTAGAATCTTTCGTAGTTTTAGATGGTGCATATGATAAAAGCGATAAGAAGTTGGAAACGCAGAAGAAAAGAGCACAGGAAAGGATCGAAACGGCTGACCGGTTGTTCAAGGATGAACCATCGCCTAATGGCGATGAATACTTTCTACTTCCGCTTTTGGCGAAGTTTGTATTCGCACAGGTCCTCAGGGATCACCTCATAAGATTCGCTGTTTCTGACTGGTAAGATGTTATCCTAGTATCGCAGAGGTCAGTGGTTCGAGTCCCGTACAGGCCTGATTTTTTTCAGGTCTGAATTTCGCTATTGCTCAACGTTGCGTAAAAAATATCCTACCAAAAGCCTCTCTGTGATCGTGTATTCCTGGAGAGAAATCTCGACAGCTCGTCTTAACTCATTCTCCCCAGGAACACTTCGAAACACAAATTCTATAGCCTTTTCTGCTGTGGGTGCTTGTGAAAGAAGCTTGCTGATCTTTTGGAACTTTTGTTTTATCAAAGAAGAGAGAGTCCATTGGAAAGAATATCTAAAACATCTCAGAGCCAGAAGTTCTTCATCCCCACCCTTTGATACGGGAGAAGCGCAAAGCTTCTTTCAGTGGCAGTGCGATTTGAGAGGTGCCAGACAGCTTAACATTAAAGATACCGCGTATCCACGAGACTTTTAATGAACCACTAGCGCATCAGTTCCTTGAGGAGTTGGAACGAGGCAGGTCAATATATTGGCATTATTCATTTGGATAAGTTCTCTCGGTCTTCCCAAAAATTACTTATCTAAGTAACTTTTTTCAGGATGCATGCTGTTTTAGCATGTCCCAAAGCAGGACTGGAATACTGAACGCTTATTTCTAACTATGACATTTACTGGTACTATTTCGAACATTAATTGTAATTTTCGAGGAAAAAAACGGAGTGATCTTTTTCTCTTTCTCCTACCTAACCAAGTATCATACTGAAAGATCTTTTTTTTTTTCCTGAGCAGTTCGAGCGCTTAGAAAAAAACTTTATCATGCAGTAACCGATCGCTCATTAGAAGAGACTTCCCACCAAAATGCCGCGTCTAAGAAAGCGTCATCTGCCAACAGACTAGTCACGAGGAATTCTTTTGATGTTCTAGACGCGGACTGGAAATAAAACAAGAACAATGGACGTTACACTACCCACTGAGCATATACAAGACCTTTCCAATCTTCATATGAACCAAGAAATGCAAACATCAGACTAAATTAAATATATGGATTTTGTGGCAAGATTTATTTTTGCGCTAGTTAGGTTAGGAAGATAAGTGAAAGCATTTAAGCTGATCTGGGATCACCTTTAATGAACTGAATGGATCATGCATCACACGTATCTAAGACCGCAGTTCAAAATATATGAACTTCATATATACATTGTATCTGGATGGAATATGTAATCATTGCGTATTTCTTTTAGAGTTTTATGACAACCTTTGTTTTAAATTATAGTAGATGTAATAATTAGGGCATATTCCTAATTAGAAATTTCTCTTGGAGAAGATTTCAACTCAAATTTTTTGCTGTAAACGATTATCTAATAATTTTCAATCGTCACCAATACGTGTTTAGTATTATTATTCCGGTAATCATAGAGATGCACGCGCTCTGATTAGTCGAGGATTGTGTCATATCTCGCTTCGTACAATCAACTCGTGCGAGGCGATAACGGCGGGGGCGCTAAATTTCAAAATGTTTCTCAATGTTACCTAGTAAGTCATTAATGCGATGGAAGAAAATTCAATTCCGAAGAGCACAAGAGATGCTTTTATGTTTGGAATAACACTTTTAAAAAGAAAGATATGAAATNCAATGGCAGTGTGTTTTGAGAGATGTCATTAATCTAAACTTCGTTTTGTCTGAGCCTTTACAGACACCGTGTATTCAAAAGACTTTTAATGGTCGACTGGCACATTGCCTCCAAGATGAACTGAATGAAGGTTAGTATTCGCCAGGTCACGAAACTTCCAACGTTCGATGTCGATTATTTTGTATTCGTTCTTAGTGTTGCGCACCCACGAAGCCAGAGTGGACCCCCTTTTCTTTTTTAAGGTTCTCCTTAGATCTCATTAACCTAGTTAATCCCTCTGATTCCATTTCATAGGAGCTTTATATCGGCCAAACATGGAGTTTGAGCGACTTAGACACTGCACGGCAGTCAAACCTGTCATATTGCTTGTCTTCATTGCCAAACTCAGTTTTGTTCCCAGTGTAACCGGGACCCTTCTACCTTCGAGTGTTATAAAACGTAATGAACAGCGATAAGGACGATAACACAGAGCTAATTGTAGAAGTGTAACCAGGAGAATACATGTTTTGTTTCCCCCTGGTGCAAGGGAAAATCGTGGTACAATACACAGCAATGATGATTTATTGTTCCACCTCAGTTCTCTAACGTTTGTATTAGAGTAAAGTTAAAAAATTACGCGTCTCAGAAAACTGCGCATGCGCAACGGAAAACTTTGTTATGTTTCCTCGCTTCCCTCATCGAATAAAAGCAGAAAGAATTGGTGAGAATCATTCTTGTTTTCTTTCTTTCCACCAGGTCGTAGGCCAGAAACCTTACTATGTTCTCCAAGCAGTCTTTTGCGATATAAGGAGCTTTAGACTGCGATTACAGACCGGGAAGGTAAAGGCACACTGAAAATAGTATTTCAGTTATTTTTGAAGTATAAATTTAACGGACATACGCAATCCAAGAAACAACCTCTTCTGTTAGAGGCATGTAGGTCAGACCCTTCTGTTTAGTTCGTGGTAACCTCATTGGTAAAGGAAACTCTCTCCACTTCAAAGGAGCATGAATCTAGTTTGCAAAAATATCATTGAAACAAAAGCAACAACTTTTATACAAAAGGATTACCAGCCCAGCGTGAGTTTATGAATGGTTCTGTTCTCAGGCGATGTTACTGCCAGAATGCAAAGTTTACTTTTGCACTGACCAAAAATGAACTACAGTAGAAACCCCGCAATATGAAAAATGTCTTAGACGCGACCTCCCGGCCACCAGGAGAGGTATCACCATCTAAGAGGGCAGCGCCGAAAACACCTTGAGCCCTTTAGATCTCGAGCACAGTGACGGTGGCGTCTTATGATCTACTGGTTGATTGACAAAGGGAAACCATGCCAACATAACAGGTGCACTTCCACAATCACAGAGGGAAGTTCTTCGATGTTCCTGGTCCGCCTCTCGCTTAATAAACGAAAGCTAAGAATTTGCATCTTCAACCTGTTTTGTTTTCCTCTTGAAAAGAAAAAGAAACTAGGGGTCTGCGGACAGCGACAAATACTAAAGTGCAACAACTTTCTGACTTTTGTGGGATCTTAGTTTGAAATGTTTGACAACCCAATATCATTAAAAAGTTTGTTTTCTTTTTTCTTTTCTCTTTCAGTCATAAAATTTATACACACAGTTTTTGAGTAATTTAGCATAATAATCATGATTTCATCTGTCATTTAAGGTTAGAGTGAACGAAATAGAAGTGAGGACTTAAAATTCCGCTTTGATCCACTGAAGCGCCCGTGTTTTAGATTTACCTTTAAATAATTTACAATTTTGGAAAAATATCAGTATGCTTTTAAATAAATTATATTTTGAATGGTTCCCGCATTAGTGTTGTCAATTTTATCTTTGATGGCCTGGCCAATCATGAAATGATTTTCTCTTCTCTCCCCCTGCACGAACACCGCTGAAGTTCCTTGATGAACTTAAAGCTCCAGGATTCGACAGTACCTTTCCTATGATCTCGAGAACACCTGATCATACCATGTTCACTCTAACATGACACAATAGATATTTGCAGGACTTAGTTTCCTCTCTTCTCACGATTACAGTGTAGAATGATGTCTATAATTCGCGAATATGGTCTCTCAGTAGCGGAAAAGGACATCATGTAAGTCATGCTAAATTACTGTTGTATTCAATAAGGTTTTTTTATAATTCATTATTATCCTGTTATGATACTTTGAATATCTCAATCGGACTTTTCTCTAAAAATTACCTTCTGTTGGGGATAGCACAAAACTTCGAGCGTTATCCGTAATATTCCTTTAATTTTCGACCATCACAATTGATAGTATGAACATGTCACGAAAAATCGGTTACAAGACGGTGAAAGATTTTGTGCAAACCAAACGATTAAAAGAAGAGTTTACAGCCGCAAGAGCTCGTCGATAAGAACACGCGTGAGAAGCTACAGTCCAAAAAACATGTGACCAAACTCTACCTCGTGTATATGTACCGAAACGTAACGCAACAAAAAAAAAAACACAAGAACAAAGGAAAACGTCACGGACTAAGTTTAACTAAACACCTTCTCTTCACACGATTTCCTGACAAACTGCGAAACTCGAGTCTCGTGAATTATGTCCTTCTTATTTGCATGAACCTAAGTGCCCCAAGCAAAATGATAATTAAGAAAAAAAAACAAACAAACAAACAAACAAAGAAAAACTGGTTATGACGAATCTGGGTTTATTGTTTATAAACCTGTCAAAACTTTCCGACGCCACGCTCAACCTCGTTTTCAGGCACTTGGAAGTAAGGCCATTATTTGTTAAAGAGGTTTCGTAAGTCTAAGCTTCTCATCAAGGTAATGGGCGTTCACGGACTCTTAAGTTTCGTCGAAAAAATCGAACAGCTTTGGGAAACGATCGAACTACGGCGAGACACAAAGCTGGTCATAGATGGATCAGCTTTATACAAGTCTCTATACGCAGATAGTTGCCTCGATCGACGCTGCGGAGGGCAATATAAGGAATTCTATGACATAATAATCAATTTCTTTAACGCTCTAAAATCTGTGGGAGTAGAGTCATTCGTAGTCCTGGATGGCGCAACCAATGACAACAAATTAGAAACCCACAAAAAGAGGTCAGAAGAGAGAATAAAGAAAGCTTATTTTCTCGCAAAAAAACCAGCAGAAGAAATTAAGGATGTCTTCGTGTGCCCGCTTTTGTTGAATTTTGTGTTTGTGCAAGCGCTCAGGGATCTTGACGTGAAATTTGCTGTCTCTGACCGGTAAGTTGAAAATAAGTAGGATAAAGGTAACATATAATCAGAGTTATCACAGTTTGCACACATTAATTTTGAAGACACGTCATGAACAGATGTTATACAAGGCAACCATGAAAGTTGTTTATATCACTTGCTGAGATTCATCGTAAAAAACTTAGAAAAAAAACAACGTAGTTCAAGCAAGCTAAAATTACGAAAGAGAGAAAGTCAGATTTTTATTCTGCCTCTGATTTTGGTCGTAATTAAAGATCATGACGTTTTTCGAAGATACTCTATCCCCTAAAAGATTGAAGTAGAACTTTCGTTCATGATATTTGAAATTTGTAATTTGAGTCGAAACAATTTTCGTTTCCGGCATATTCGATTTTGTCCTCATTTAAATCAATAGCACTCATGCGAGTCGGAGAAAGAAAGGGTAGCATGCTGTCCATTTCCTCATTCGAAGGTAATTATTTTTGCTGTTGAACGGTCATTCGTAAAGGTGTGATGTGAAAAGGAGGCGACGCTATTTCTTCACAAAAAACCAACGATTATTTGCTTATTATAATGACCATGTGGTTTAATGAATAATTTCACGGGTGACGAGGCCAAATCTTAAAGTAAAATTCAACCTTCTTGTCTTTTGTTAGTGAAGCGGATGCTGAAATAGCTTATTTGGCCAATTATTTCCAATGTCCTGTTCTAAGCAACGACAGCGACTTCTGCATCTTTGATGTTATTCGTGGTTTTATTCCAATCTCCTCTTTCAAGTGGCACAGCCTTCCTTTGAAAGCTCGCATTTTCCATCGCGCAAAACTGGCAGAGTATTTTGGAATTCGGACGGAATTGCTTGCTCTTTTTGCCTCTTTAGTGGGAAATGATTACGCAACCTTGGCGCTACTAAGGCCATTCCACCAGAGTTTGCCGGGAAAATCTGGAAAAACAGAAGAAAAGTTCCGAGCCATCATCAATCTTATTTTACAAGCACCTGCATCAGAGGAAGAGGCGGTCGAATTTGTATTGCAACATGTTTCTAAGGATTGTCCTTATAGTTTAATGTAAACTTTTCTTGATGCTGCGTTTAAGTTGACATTAAGGCCGATATCAAGAAAAGGTATCAGTATTGTTTTCTCGTCCTGTTCTTAAAGTTCTTGAAGAATGGTTACAGTTTACTTTCACAAACTCCATTTCATAGTCAAAGACAAAACATAAACCGTTCCCTTGCAGAAGAAGT